TTTTTAATAAGTTTTAAACATTAATGTATAAGAAATATATAAGTTTTGTGAGGAGTCCCATTATGCCCCGCATAAAATGATAATCAGATTAAGTCATGGTCTCAATACAATAAAAATTTCGTCCTTTTAAACTATTCTTTCACAGTAAAACCATTTTTTTTCTTATAGTAGACATTTCAAAGAATATTTTCGTAAAAAAATAATTCATTTATGTATTTTCATTTTGTTTAAAATTAATTTTAACCTTAGCGTTCCCGTTATGCCCCGGGTTCCTCTACTGATACTTGTCTTTGAATGTATTCTAATCGGAGTTCTCCGCGGTTGAGTGACTTATACGCGTAGTATTTTTACGACAAAATACTTGGCACTATCGAGATGTCTCAATCTCGCCGACACGTGAGGTGGTGTTAACGCGAAAAATCTTTTACGTTTTTGCAATAATATATCCCTTGCCTCACGTTTCATCAATTTATACGGAGTCTGTCGTAGCATTTTCTCCGTATTCAAAAGAAAATGTTGGTGCAAGATATTGTCGCGATCACTGATAGAGATTCTGCTGGTAAAAATCCTCCACCGTGAACATTCCATCCGCGTACGGGCTATGCGCCCTCGTCTTCACCAGATGAAAACCCCGATATTTCCTATCGACGTCCTCGCCCATCAGCACCGCGGGAAATCTGGGCGGGCAGAGACCCAGAAGATACGCTACGAAACCAGAACAGGGCCAGCCCCAGAAACCGACTTTCGTGTTGATCGACTCGGCGAAGTACTCCGCCGCTCTGTGGTGGTTGCACCCGAAAGGATTCCCTTGCTGCCAGCAACCAGGCTGATTGACTCCGCCGTTCATGTAAAAGTCGATATGACCGCTCGGCTCGATCTTGCCCTGAATGAAGGCATTTGTGTGCAACACGTCGACGAATTCGGCGTCGCTGGCGTCGAGCTTCTCGTTCTTGCCGACGGTGACGAAGAGCGGCATAGCCGGGTCAAGACCGGTGATCCTCGCAAGCTTGTACGGTTGCAGCGCGTTGGCTGCGAAAGCCGGTACATGGGCGCCCAGACTGAAGCCGATCACGTGGATGTCCTTGGCGCCGTAGTCCCTCAGACGGTCGACCAGCTGTGCCAGACAGTCGCCCACGTGAGGCACATTGTGGACGGCCACGGGGTAGCACGGTGCTGTCGCCAAACGATGCCAGTCAATCGCTATGAGATTGTAGCTGCCCCTCTTCAGATACTCGTTCCTAATATCCACCAAGTGACCTAGTTGCATGTCCGAATTGTAACCGTGCACGATGATCTTCGTGGGAAACGCTGCCACGAAGTTGGTATCGGCGAGATTCGAGCTGGTGCCGTTGACAAGTAATTGCTGCCCCTCTCCTGGATTATGTTTGGTATAGAGAAAGAACGTCACTTCTTCGTCGGGACAGGTCTGATTGGTGTTCACCAGGCACGGCCCCACGAAGAAGTCTCTACCGATCTGATTGTCAACGGTATTGCTCACGACGAACGTCTGTGTGTTCGCGGCCGCGGCGAACTCGCAGACTAATAGAAGAATCGTGAAAATCCTCCAGGTTGGTGGACTACCAGCCTGGTTGGCGATCGTCATCTTAGGTCCGCCGGTAGCTCCACCTTGGCCGTGATATCGCACGAAGATTCGTCTGCGAGTGATTCCAGGCGACCGTCTAGCGGGAACTGGTCGGTGCAACGACTGGTCGATCGTCGCGGGCGAAACTCGGCGGCAGACGAACGGCACGTACTGGACGAGCCTCGACGAGCTTGGAATCCCTAAAGAGCACCGCCACACGCGGCGATGTTTGATCAGTCGCGGATCGATGCGCGCGCACGGGGTGAGTCGCGAAAAGTAAACGCCACGTTTTAGTAACGTGGCTAAAAAATTGAAAGTCTCTTTGAGGAATTAATACACAGAGGAACGGTGAAAAATTCAGGTTTTTCCAATGAAACGTAAAAATTGCAAGATGCGAGCCACTCCTGAACGTTTATCTCAATAAAAATTGCTCTCCCGTCGTTCACAAACACTTCACGCAACGTTTATCTTTCTTGTATCGACAGTATCGCGCGCACCAATGATATCACATATTGATACGAAGCAACGCGCGTTAAGATATGACACGTATGAAGATACGTCACGCATTAAGTCGCATATTGAAATACACGTCAGCTTTCCGATAAAAATCAAAAGAAGTGATCTTTTATATAAATGAGAAAATTTCGATACTTATATATTAGAATAGTTATTAACATTATTATAATAGTGCTTGATATTACGAGAAAGAATGAATCACGATACACCGATCAATGTAGGAAATTGAATCGTTATTCCTCGAGAAAGTTATTACGTTCTTTTCACCACTCACCACTCCGCGCGCAAAACGATGCAACTCCACGTAGGTCGAACCGATGATGAACTAGAGCACACTGCACGGCATTTTGCAAGCGTCCAGTGGTCGCGACGCACTTCGACGAAGTACACTGATTAGACGTGCCATTGATACCGCTCGACTGACTAATACAGTTGGATAAAATGGTAGGGGCGATATCATCAGTGGAGTGATTGTGCAAAGGCGGCAGACGAGCAAGCGATTCGAGAAATGATTGCGGCAATGGCGATGGATCGATAAAGGCTTGGATGCACGATTGGCGGGTTAGAATTCATCACGTCGACAAACGGCAAGAGATGATTTAACGGCATGTGAGCTGTAATGGCACTCACCTCTTGTAGGACAAATTGGGTCTTTCCGAAATACTCGTGTTTCTTTAAGCGCTGCCTGTCGGAACTGCGCGATATATTGGCACGTAGCGAAATTCGTTTGTACGTTGAAAGAAAACTTTCTCGCTGCAGCAGATATAAGTGAATTTTTTTCTAACTTGTGTATTGGTGGAAAAAGAATTCGAATCAGAACAAGAATGAGACAATTTTATGATTTAACGATCGAACAATCAACTTGACTATATTTTTAGTCGCGAATTATTTATTTTTAATTTTTTTAATTTCAAAGTCGACGTTTTTAAATTCTAATTCGTGCATATTGATTTTGCAGTAACTAATTCGATTTTTGGAAAGAAATTGTTTGAAGGTAAAAATATGTTAGCGTCGTAGAATCTTTGTGCCGATTGGAGGAAACATATTTCATTGTCAGGATAATGTTTTAACGATGAAAGACAGTTCGGAGCTTTTATTGTCGGACGTGGTTCAGGCAATTAGAAGTTGATTTACAGTACGTACACGATAACATGTGCCCTGCATCGCGTGACTAACACCAATGACATCGAAAGCTGCTTTGAATAATGCGCTAACTTCCTGTTACGGCTCGAGTCTCGTTCGCAATAATTACCGCGATTGTACTACCAAATATCATCGAAGCTCGAAATAAGTGCCATTTCCTTACCTGGAGTAAAGTATCATCGATCGTTTCGACACGAGCTCTTCGTGTAGGATCCGCGCGTTTCGGAAGAGCTCGTGAAAGTATTCGTTCGTTACTTCCGTTTCGATAAAGCGCGCGAGAAGGTGAAATTTCGTTCGAGTTGGCACGTAGCCTACAAACGTATCATATAAACTTTCGCGACCGGCGAGGATGTGAATGTTAATTAATTGCGGTCAGAAACACTTTTACATTCGTTGACTGTCCCAATTATGCCTATACCGTAATGCCTAAATTACCAGTCATTATTGATCTAAGATCATTTCGCGTTACGGCCGCATGTGTATCATCATTTACTGCGGAAACAAATATATGCAGATTATAGAAAATATATTACCATTACTGTAAAAATTAAGATACAGAAAACTCAATTGAAGAAAGATAAGTGAGAAATATATAGCTGAAAAATATATACATGACAAATCTCATCCAAATTGGAACTAAAATGTTACGAGAGACAAGTTTATCGCTGGAACAAATAATTTAGATATTTTGCTAGAATAAAATCCTACTTTTTGGCAGTGGTTTTGAATCCAGCCAAGACCCGAAACGAGCTTGTTCGCATAAGCTACAAACTAAAAGAGAAAAGGAAAAAGAAGGACGAATGTTCGCATTCGTATTTCAGCTATGCCCGACCACTCGTAAAAATTCTCTAAATATAGATCGGTAGTCTCATTTCATACTGGAAAGCGTGCATCTATATGCGAACGAAAGTATACATTTCAACATGCTCAAAAATATGAATATCCGAATGATAAGACGCATTCAGATATTTCATATTCAAGCTTGCTGCACAATCGAAAAAACTTGTTAACTTGATTGGCAAATATTTCGTCCTCGTACAGCATCATCGTAAAAGACTAAATCGTGATGAATAAATTTTCATTATTAAACATAAAAAAAATTTTTATATCGAAATTTTATCGAAATAATGAATAATTATACAGATTATTATATTATTACAATTTATAATTTTATACGAAGGCAATGAATAATTAAAGTCATTGTATTACATCACCGTGATTGTATCATGGACTAGAAATATCTATAAATGCATAATAATAATAATGAATTGAATAAAAAAATAATAAAACATTGCAATTTGGTCGAAATAAGACTTTCAATATTGTCAGCAATATTTATTTTTGCACAGCGGTTCGTTTAAATTTTCATCATGCATTGCTTAATTACGGTTAAAATTGCAATTACCGTAGATCCCCGTTAATCGTGTTATATACTGAATTTTCAAAGAAAATCGATACCGAGTACAGACTACCTCAATTTGTGGTGGGCGGCCTATCAGGCAATCATACTGCAATCTCCATTTTAAAAGTGGAATCCGTGTTACATAGGCGAACGATGAAATCAATAGCATAAGCGGAAATACCTAAATTAGCTTATATGGCTTATATATTAGCGATCGAATTTGGTCCATCCCATAATACACATACTCGAAATAGACGTACCGTATTGCATATAGCTGTATTAATTGCCACGAGCGCGGCTTCATCACTGAATGAATTAATTTCACTAGTTTGTGAACGAATACAAATGCCATTTTGTGTATGCGCGAATTATTATATTTCGACGTTCATTAATCTGCAGGTAAAAACTTAATGACTCTTCGTGACACTCTGATTGCTCATCTACCTCTTTGGCGTTTTATCATTCCGACTGTTAAGTATCATTTATTAATTATCGCGCAATCGCGTTGCGTTTTGTTTCCTGTTTCAGCGTATTCAATTACGAACTCTGCTGCAACTATTTATTATTGAAATGTACATAAACGAGTCGCAGAACAGCGAACGAGGAAATGCATTTTTCTATTTTTCCAACCGGTCTCGGAACACCGTCGACGAAGTTGTCGAGTCTTTTTTGGACCAAAGCCAAAGTTCCAATGATGTATCTTTTGCCTCTATTTATTCTACATTCTCCTCTGTATTCTCGAGATAGGGGAATAGCAAGGGTGCACATGCAAAACTTTTAGTTAAGATATAAGATATCGACATTTATTTTGTAAGAGACACGACGCGATATACCGGTGCATCTATAAATCGATATTTTCTTCTCTTTTGATATTATACTTTCTTCAATTTCCACAATATTATGTTATAATTTCTCCTTTAAAAGAAGTTATTATTTTTTACACTCTCTTGGCGATACCTTATCGTTCGTTTAATCAGAAGTGCGAAAGAATTTTATTGTTGATAGAAATTTTAGGAATATAATTATCTCGAGTACAACAATAATTGCAATGAGAAATTTACGTTTTCGCCAAAGAAAATGTGCTATTGCACGAAATATTACATAAAATTATTTCAATGTCGAGTATTTCTCGATTATCTACGTTCTTCGGAAATCTTATTTGAACGCGCAACTTTCTACATGTGATACGTACACGTAGAGATTTTATAAATATTTGATGAAACCCGGTTTATTTTACAGGTTGAACATTTACTCTGATTTATAATATAAAACTCGATATACCGCGTTATTTTCGCCGAACTCGTAATCAGATGTTATTTATAATTCGTGTTTGCCTAGACTTGACTCCAATCAAGTATCACATCAAATCATATCATATAATACATTCTGAATACCTTTGCTCTCTTCGAGATGCGCAGGACGCGTCAGCGGAAATGTTTTAATCGCTATGCACGAATTTTGATTCAGTCGAATTCACGTCTATGTTCAAAATTAATTTTCATTTAGCTGGCGATCTGCAAAATCATTTGATCTTTATTATGCCGGACGGTTTTTGGCGGAAGCATGATTGGCACTGGCTCGAATAAATATCGGTCGAACGAAATTCGACAAAACGGCAGTGGGTGAGATTGCATGGCGCATCGATGTACAAATATCTGCATGGACGGTGGTGCAACACGCACGATGCCGTACAAACTAACGCAACCGCGAAATGCGTATTTTGCGAGCGTATTCATTAAACACGTCGTGTAAAAATGTACCGTGAAAAGAACATCTTTTATCGTAGGTACGAACTTCATATTCAATTATGAAGTAATTTGTGAAATATGTAAAAACCGACAACAAAAAGCAAAAATAATGGAAGGCTATTTTATTTATTTTAATTCGATACAATCAATAACGGAAAAATTAAACATAATTAAATATTTCTCTCTGTATTATGTATTTTACAACTTTGATCTCAATTAAAACCGTAATATGTATAGACTGATTGTGAGATATAAAAGAGAATTCCGATTAATGAAATAGCTCAAAGAGAAATTGCAGCGAGAAGGGTGAGTTTGGTCAAAGATTAAAAGACGTCTTAATTCGTGTGTCGCGAATAATTCAGACGTAGCTAAAAGTGAAAGGAAAGCACACAGAAATTAGAGAAACGATTAAAATACGGAGAACGTTTAAAATACAGTACTTTTCTGATTTCGCAAACATTAAAATACATAACTGTGAACTAGCATTCTTTTTATTAAAGTTATCTCGTACGCGCCGCTTGTTACAGTGTTAGAGTTCACCATATTCGAAACATGCTACTGCAAAAAGTTACGTGCGTCACTAATAAATCTTGGAATACGCAAGCGACGGTCGTGTTATCAAGCCGACGCGCTCCATTAAATCGGGGCGACGACGTAGCAGTGGTCTTCTTCGTTCACACAACTTCGCCCTCATTTCTGCGAAGATAGCTATATTTAATTCGATATAACCGATAAAATTTTGGTTCTTCCCCAAAAGAATTTATTTTACAATTTTTGTATACGTTTAAAAAAAGAGTCCTGGCGATTAAATACACAAAATTTGAATCGAAAATATTGGTTATCAACTGCAAGTTTTGATAGATAAAAATTAATAACGTTTTTCTACAAATCAGTTTTTAACTGTAGGTATTGTGTGAAAAATTTCTACCCAAAATTTGAAAAGTTGTCTAGTATAAAATCTTTATTTTTATTTCTGTTTTTTATTGATTGTATTTTTATTTTTATGGATATTTTAATATCGATAGAATCACCAACTCGCGAAAAAGTAGATAAAACGTATTAATCGAAAAAAGATTATTTTTTAGCGAGATATACCTAATATCTATAACAATCCGACAATCTAAATTAGGTCAGTCTGTTTGAACTTCCAATTGAAATGATTTCAGCTATTTGTTTCTAGTTAGGTTCTAAATAGTTTTTTCAGTATTTCACACTTGTATAACTTAACATCTATTTATAGTAAGCAAATCTATTTTTATATATTCATTGAATGATGATAGATATTTATAAGCTCAGCTCTGTTTTCTTGTAAAGAAGATAGAATTACTTGTAAAACAGTTTGTTAACTGAAACTGTATCCTTAGACGTGACAAAAACAATTTTAATCAAATCGATTAGATTAATAATAAAAATTTAGAGAAAATTCTAAAATATGTTCTAATTGTATAATACTCGTTTACGAAAATTGAATTTTACAAACGAAAAACGCTTTAGAGTATCAAAATACTTGTTTCCGAGAATAATTGTTTCCATTTATATCATAAATTGGACTCGTACTGCAAAAACTAGATCACTATTTGTACAAAGCTAGATTTAGATCGAGCAAATCAGCGAACAAATGTGAATAAACAACTTTTGCTTGAATGAATGTGAATGGTGCCGCCAACGCCGTTCAATGAAACAAGTTGCTCATTCGCGTTTGTTCGCGCTCATTCACTTCGTCTCGATTCTACTTGACACGGCGCGTTGCGGCACCATCGCCGATAGCCCCGTGCGTCAATAATCTGCCGAAAACGTATCACTTAACGCATTGGTTCCGCGCTGCCTGTGTGCAAAGCTGAGACAGACGTTGTTCCATTAGTCAGCCGAAAGCGCGCGTTTCTCCGGGAATTAATTATCCGTCGCGCTCGTCTGCCATTTGTTTCGGATAATCGAATTTCCAGTGCGCGGCATCGCGCGCGACGCAGCTAGAGAGGCAGAGACAGAATCCCGGCTCTCGTATATTAAACTAATTTAAACGCGAGTGCGAGTTCCACTCTCGTTCTCGTTCCCTCCCCCTCTTTCATCCCTTTCTCTTTCTCTCTATCTTCTCTCTCTCTCTCTCTCTCTCTCTCTCTCTCTCTCTCTCTCTCTCTCTCTCTCTTCTAGCAGTAATAGCAATAAACAAACGGGACGAACAAGCCGCGAGGCACGCGCTATTTGCTATCGATTACCGTCGAACCAAAAAACAACAGCGATATACCGATGGAATTGCGGCAAACATCGCGATACCGCGCGCTAGAAATGCTAGTCGATTGAAATCGCAGAAAGCCAAACGATATTATAAAACGAGCGCGAGCGGACCGAACGGTGGTATGGCGATCGATCGCTTAATGAAAACACCAATGTACGTTTTGTTCAGGTTTTCCCCTCTTTTTTTTTTCATCTGTCTGCGCTCTCTAATTTCGTTGTACCGTCACAGCCGCCGATATGCGATAGCAGTTACGCGTAAATAAATAACGGGCGCCGCTGTAAGCGGCGAATATCGCAATGGTCTATCGATCATCTCTCTCGCTGCTTAATTATAGCAGCGAGTGGGATTCAATCGCGTCGATGGTTCCTGATTAATTCAGCGCCGACCGCAGATATTTAGGCCGGCTTTGTTCTGTATTGAAAGGTCGCGAGTTCGCGCAACGATGTCGCGAATTCGCGTCATGAGATGTTCGTCCCCGTTACGTGTTTTATTTATATACTTTAAAGACAAAGGCGTAGCTCGTATGAAGACGAAGAAGAAACAACCGAGAAAGTAACGTTAGAAAAAAATCTAAGACGTCAAACGCGGTTAGAAAAATGAGTTATCGATGAGTTAACAATGGCGCGATTTGCGCGACTAATTTATGTATTTATATCGCGACAACACATGTTGTTTAAATATAAATTACATAAATAAAAAAAACAAATCTGATTGTATGTAGCATACAGAATGTTCTCTCCACTTGCATAATCTTGCGAATTTTTCAGTATTAATTTTGTAATAAAACATGGGGTGTTTTCTTCTCCGCACAGATTTGAATATTATAGTAAAAGATTTTCAAATGGCTTTAAATGACATGTTTTAACCAACATTTCTCTTTACATTTAGTTTGTTCGAAATAGTTGATGTAGTTATTTGAGAACTTGAGAGAATGAAGGGAGCAGAGTTTATTTAAAAAGTTTACAAGAGTATAAATCATGTAAATGACGAAGTCGAGAAATGATTCGAATAGCCGCAAATGTTATTTAACCTACCGTCCACAAATAAATTTAATGGTCAACCACGAATATATGATTGGCGGAATGTGAATCGGCAAATGCATCTGTCAAATCTGATTTAATTAATTAATTAGAATCGTTGTCATGAAACGAGATGACGTGCAGAAGTGCGAGGCAAACCGCTACGCAATCAAATGAAAAGTAAACACTACATATGGGGTGTTCGAATGAGATCAGCATAATCGAGTATCAGCACGCGACGTGAAATGATGGTGCATGATAACGTAACATTTCGTAAATGTAATTATACTGTGATAATTCCAAATCCGGAACAATCCTTCATTATTATATGTAATCCATTGTTAATCTACAATTCTGATAAATAAACATATATTACGTATTAATTAATACACAATGGGCCCAAGAATTTAGATGCACATCACTTATACATTCACCGTTAATATACAGCAAAATCAATGGAAAACGTTTATTTGCCAATCAGTACTTATTAGAAATAAAGAGACGTACTGTCTTTATAGAACAAAATATTCTCTTCGTGAAAATCTTATAAATTATTCTTGAAACATAGAATTAGCAAAATGCTCTAGATTATGTGTTAAATATAACGTTCTATTCCCCTCAGTTATTAATAAAAATCCCGTTGAGATCTCCATTTTATTTCTTTATGGAAAATTGACACCTGATACGTGATAAAGTAGGTTTATGACATTATAATGTTTGTTTCAAAGATAAATGTGTCAACAGATACGTAATACTTTATGTCGAACTGATCAATGGAACAATATACTCTGACGTCTACGACCTCTTTTCTGTATAATGATATGAGACATAATGGTGTTCTGATGTGCACGTGTGATAGCATAAATAAATGAATATTTTATGCCGTAATCGCGAACGCGTGCGTCCTTTGATCATTGGCTCGACCCATGCAGGGCGCAACTTTGTAGCAAATCGGCTAAATGCGCTTGCTAACATATTCAGAGGAAAATTAATTAATTTTCATAACTATTAATGTAGTTCGTGCTGTGGAAACAGAATTTCCATAAATACATATTTGATGTAAAAAAAACAAAATACAATGGAGATTTAAAACTGTTTTGGAAATAATTTACAGGATATTTTGTGAATGCTCAAACTCAGTAGTTGCTCTAATTTTTCGTTTTTTTTATTATACTATTATTAAAAATGACTTTTTCTATAACTTCGTCTTGTCAAAAAAGTTGTTGCTTTTATATATTTAAAGTACATCTACAAATAGTATTAATAGTATGTAATATTAATTTTCTTAACTCTCGAGAGTGAGACCGTCTCATCCAAGTAAAACGATCTTATTTCCCAGGAATTAATATATGGAATCTCTTAAAATATTTTGAAAGTAAGACTTTGGTGCCTTCACAATTAATTACAGCAATTACTAAACATTGGTCGGTCAACTTACAAAAATTAGTTTTTGTGTTCCCGTGCGATCGTGTCGTTAAAGTACAGTCGTTTAGAGTAACGGCATTACGCAACCGTCGCGAGAGCGAAAAAGTTTCCCTCGTGTTTTGAAGTAACGCGAAGTAAAACCACAAAGAAAACGAGCTCTGACTAACAGTAGCAAGGTTGCATCGACTACGAGCGGTTGCAACGACAGCGACCACGACGCGAATCGATCGTGTACGTGTAAGGGAGGTTTTTTGTGACTCACATGGGAAGCTGACTGGGGGATGAGACTGAGCATTGTGCGCGTTATGGGGGTGCCTCGGGGTAGGAACACGCTGCCTGCAAAAGCAGAGAACCGCCGCCGTTACCAGGCCGCCCAGGCTGAGTATCAGAAAAACAAGGGCGATGGCGAACCAAGTAGTCTGCATGCCTAGGATCGTCGATGCCTCGGAATCTGCGGTTACAATGAAAAAGTGTTAATCCGAAAAGTTTCATTTCGAAAATAGAAATGTGCTTCAAATTAATCCAAGTCTAATAAAAATAACGCACGTGTTACAAGGGAAAGGAGACGTGTTAATAATTCCGTAAAGGTAACTTCATAAATTTGTAAGTTAAATCCGTAATTATAAAAAATGTGGGAAAAAATAAACGCGTGAGAAAATATTATGACATAAAAGTTACGCAACGTAATATAACCGTCTCATAATTTTAATCAACTTTATAAAACGAGATATCCGCGCAGTTGCAATTTTCATTAACTTTTTATTAAAAAAAAGATTCTTTTTTATAACAAACAACGTAGTGTAAAGACAATTAAAAAAAAGGACAGTAGCGCGAACTTCTTGTTGAAGCGCGCAAATACTTGATGATTAAGCGCGCTTCAACAAGGATCTGACCTGACACGCGTGCACTTTCGTCGAATCAGGAAATCGATATAGCGGTGTGTACTTCATGTTTTACCGTTACAGACCACGATATCCGTAAATAACGCGAGTAATAAAAAAATTTTATGGCCAACATTAAGTTTTGAATGAATCGATCATCGTTACGATAGTGGTAAAGTAAACGATAGTGGCTGCCCGCAATGTACGATGCATAAGCATAAAGTAATAGAGAAAACTACATACATAAATAATAAATTTCGTGGAAATTTTCAGAATTGTTCGAGAATTATGGCAAATTAAGTCCCTTAATAACTTAAGTTATTATTAAATGCCTTAATGACTCGCACTGAAAAATTATATAAAATCTAGAAACATATTTTCATGTATTGTTTACATGTTGCTCATTGTATGATCGGCAAAATAGTGAAAATTAATTGTTTGCTAATTAAAGTGCGGGAATTGTGACGGTAATATGGCACATTAACAAAATATTAGTAGCATATGCTAAATTCCTTCGAGCGCAGCAAGCATTATGCGACAAGTTTGTAATTTACTCCGTCGCTATTGCGAATTACTCTTGGATATGTAATGAATACATGGCAATTAACCTCTTCAGATGTCGACGCACGCGCACTTTCAACCATTAACATAAATGTTATGTAAATTTGGTCCGCGCATTTCCACGAAATACTAACAATTTTCACACGCATACAAAAATGAGGGAAGTCATTACGTTTCGCCGTTGTAAAGCGCTCGATAAATCATCGGTTACGTAATTACCCGCGTGTCGTGAAAGAAATAAAACTCGGAGTTTATTTATAATCAAAGAAATTTAATCTGGGTTCTCATAAAAATTACACGAAATTTAATAAATAAAATTATTATCTACACACAACACGTACACTATATCTTGTAAAACCTATATATTTTTGTTAAACGAGGGTTATGAATTACACAAATTTTTATTTCGTTTTATTCCGAATTAACATTATTCGAACTAACTTTTGATGGCAAAAATTTTTTTTGAAATTCTCATTATCTTTTTGACACTTGAATCTAACGCATGACCAACCATACTAAATCATGCGAGATTATATCTTCACGATCTAAATCGCTTTGCTCATTAAATATAGCGTGTCTCAAAAGATATGTACACATAGTTCCTTGATATATCATGCAGCTTGATGGCGAACATATTGATTTCATGTTAACTAGCACATTACCGTCTACACTGCTAATTACTAGCATTCGAAATAATAATATGCATCGTCGTCAACGATGAACTGTTCCAACGGGAGATAATTATATCTATTGTTTTCTAATGTTATTATTTTTACATTAATATCTTGATTCTAACATGTGTTAAGATTAACGTCCAACATCCGAGTTAAACTTGTACGTTTAAAACTGTTAATAACTCAGGATCAAATTTGAAAAGAATAATAAACTTATAACTTACTGGCACAGAGGGTGGAAGTGGCCTCATCAGATCCATCGCCACAGTGATTCACACCGTCACAAAGTAAATCCGTCTCGATGCAGAATTCATTCTGAGTGCATCGAAAATCTTTGCAGGTGTGCTCTGAAAATGACAGAATATTTGTTAATGCACGGAAAAGGTTTTTTCATGACTTAATCTTTTTTTCAATAAACGTTCTTCTCGTTGCGTTCCGCCTAAATTTACTTTATCACATTTTGTCTGGAAAGATGTTACATTATATTTGCATCTTTTATCCGTGTCTACCTAGTATATTATATATACGAGACACGTGAGAGTTTAATTACTGCGGTACGTTAAAGGCTATCTACGAGTCATGATATACTTTCTTTAGACATTGTATACGCGCGAATGACCTCACCGAAGGGTTGTACACCTCTCGAGCTCGAAGCAAGCCCTCTCCTATGGACGACGAAGCTTCAATGACAGGCTATTTTGAGAATACACAAGACCTTTTCGCATATAGTCTCGCGTAATTTTTCACGAGGCGAACGTCCGTTATACACGTGATTATTCTTTGAAAATAACAATTTTTCTTTACAACGGTAAGTCTTGAAGAAGGGAAATAACTTCACGACTTAAAAAATACCATAATATATGTACTCTCATGTGACACAATTTAATTATTTATGAAGGTAACTCTCTGGGTTACTTCTTTCACAATGAAAATTTCAAGAATAGAAAATAAGCTAATAATTACTAAATCAATCGTTGCACATTTCGTTCCTTAATTCTATCTTTATTTTATTCAAGAGAGAAAATGCATTACTTAAAATGTTTTAGGGAGAATATATAAACTGCACTTAATACACACTTAAATGGAGCGTAGCAAATTCAGATCGCTTCGACTTGTACGTTATTGACAGCTTAATATCCGCACATTTCATTCAACGTCGCATATAAAGAACAAATTTATTGAGATGTTTAATGAAATTGCAGGCTGGTACAATTAATTAGCTGGTGTGCAATTTGAGTATCGGTCATCTGCCAGGTTACAGTCAATCGCGCTATTTAATATAAAATTACTAGCAATCGAAATTCTAATATCGCTTCACGGGGAAATCAGCCACGGCTAGGTGCGGATATAAAAGCAACTGTTCGATTTAATTATAACGATGAGTCCGAAAGACACACTCGATATAAAGGCATTCGCGCGATTCAATTGCGAGGATCACTCGAAGTCTGAATTCGACATTAAACTAATGGCTTCGGTAAGTTTACTCTTTTACAAATGAAACCTTGAGTTTCAATAAACGTTTTGTGCAACGAGCGCGCATACCGCAAACTGCAAATTAAATTGTTTCGCATCAGAGTTTAATTTGCAAAAGAGCACCGAAACTTATTTGCTTCCTTAACTGTTTGCAGTTTGCAGAAAAACAAGAAAAATTTACTCATAAATTTCTCATAAATTGCGTCCTTTGTGTGAATTTAACCTTCCATTATTATTAATATTGTACAATTTCTATATTATTAATATAGAAATCTGTATTATATTATATATTTCTACATTATGCTGTTAATTTCTACATTATAAAATTGACAGAATATGTATTTCGCTTTAATCTTGCGATCATATAAGACTAATGATGAAATATGAAACTGTTCCATGTTTTATAATACAATGATGCTATTCGAAATATTTGGTTTTGAAACAATTATTAATCGCGCGGAAAGAGCGTTTCTGACGCATTCTTGGACATCGAACCGTCGCAATTCTTGAAGCATTTGGTCTAATTACGGCCCAAGCGGTGGAATGCGAAGTAATAACGAGCGATAAGTTTCACCGATCGTGAAAAAGCTCATGGTGGGCGGCGAAGACAGCGATTTTCCGCGTTCTCCCGCTGGCAATTATAACTCTTCGAGGGCTTCTGGAATCGCAGAGAAGGTAATAAAAGGATCGACGACGATTCGAAAGGATAGGGTGTGCGCGGCAAAAAGGCACACAGGCCATATGTAATTTTACGTAATTTAACAGTTGAGATTCCGTCCTTTCTGTCCGAACTTTCACGATTCGCTGCCATTTGCGGAGTTTTTGCTCAAGTTCTGGCAAAAAGGGGATTCGAGAATAACGTTTAGCAGCGGAACCGAGTAGAAAGCGATCATTTTATTTGACAGAGTGCGTACAGAATTTTTATACGATATTCAGATATATGCGAAATTAACTCGCTCTTCACGACATCGAGAATATATTTATTGTAAATACAATAATAGCTGCCGCGACAATCATTTTCGTACGTGACGCCGACGTGCGAGAGAAAGCGAGAGGAAGGTGACAAGAACGACTGTATATACGGACACCCGTGACAGAGTCAATGTTTAACCTCTCGGATTGGCCAATCATTTAACGTTGGACGGTAGACAGCGTATACACGCTCAAATATGCTCAATATGCCGACGAAATTAACAGTCGTGGCTAAGCAAACGGATGCGCAGTCACGCCGCACCGCTGATGTGCAGTAATACCAAGTGTTATGCACATTGACACGCGCGTGTATTCGCATTTGCACAAGGCTTATAGGCTCGGTAGGTTCGCACATGCATATACTGAGAATGGAAATGCTGTATGTGGTAGCTACGAAATTTGCTCGTCCCCTGCATTCCTATTCGAAATAGAATAATAGAAGAAAATTTTCGTCGACGAGTAAATACTTTCAAGTTTTCTTGAAATAATTCTGTCTAATTGGCAATCTCTTATATATAGTTACAATGCATTTAATTATTAACGTGCATCCTATTTAAACCCGAAGTTTGAAACACGCTAAAGAAAGATACAATTAATGAATAACATAACGAAATTGTTCTGTAAGCGATATTTCTTTCGAACTTATCTATTTGACAATTATTCTGAATTATATACCGAAATTTGTAACAAATTTTGAAAATTTACGAAATACGTACTTTATATCTGCTACTACATTTGAATATCTGATAGGCTGCGGGGGGAGAGCGTGAGTGCACTTGACGTGCAGAAATAAAAATATCGAATTAATTATGTTATTAAATAAAGAGATAAAATATCAAAGGTAATTTCCGCATCGGGCTGCTAAAACTAAAGCGAAATTCACCTCTCGCCTGCAGGGAGGAGCTCATTAAATTTTGTCGTGAGATATAACACTTGCACGCGAAAGCACATCGAGGTGGCACGCCAACTTGTATCGAAAAAGATTTCTGTAATCTTTAGAAAGACATGCAATTTCGCAATCTGTGACGTATACTTGCGATTTTGTTGCTCGTAGATCACAAGAGATAAACATATAACTTTTAATCCAGAGTATTTTATTGTGGAGATCGTGGTGCAGAGTAAGCTGAGCGCTGCTCTAGCGAGCAGAAGATCCGAATACAAATCTAACTAGAAATTGTCGATTTTGTTCGATCACCTCTCGGAAGGAACTGAATCTCCCAGGAGTATTTTACCTCCTACTTGTATGTATATACAGGAGACATTCAACGCTCAAAAATCGAGCAGGGAGTCTGTCCCTAGAGTGAACAGGCACTCGCCAATACGCACTGGCAAGCGTGGCATTTTAATATGCCAACTCTTTTCAGAAAAACCATGTCGATAAGCATGGAGACTCTTGGATGAGACTTAAAGTCTAGAACTGAACTGAGATAGAATATTCTATCAATTAGCTAAGAGGAAAAAACATAATAAATCTTTTAATAACTGTAATGTCTCTTTCGTCAAGTGTGACTTTTCATGATAGAAAATAAAAAATATGCCTTGGATGCCACTTTCTGGTAGGCGAGCAGCCGAAGTGGCCTTCGACCACTTATAGCTACTCGACTACTAGAGAGCGGTATCGAAGGCTTTTTACTTTGTGTGTCAATATCCTGATTTCTTCCTCATACTGGCGTAGGTATTCTTGTAGTTTCTCTCTTTTGCCAGGCACTGTTTCGACATTTGTTTCAGTGAGTGATCGCGAAAAACAATTTGTTTATTCCCATTTCAAGCGTTTTATAATTATTACAGTTTTACGGGTTAAGAGAATTACTTTTTAATCTGAGACACAGTGTCTAAATTTTTAAGTGAAAAAGTAGATGCTTACATATCAGAGTGCAATTCTCGTAGAGTTATCTTGTAAAAGTAGAGATGTTGTAGATTTATAATGCAAATGACATTGTACATGTGTGCGATGTCGTATTATTCAATATTCAATTCAATTTTCTCTCTCTGGATGATTATGTCTCATTTACTGTTAAGATTTTTACGGTGCTAGTCACGAATTACGGATGTTTCCGCGTTTTGCCAGTGCCATTAGTAAGGATGACGCTCTGGACGAGTCCGTTTGCGCATACTGCAATATGTAAGCCGATCTTTTTTTGCACTTTACGCACAAACTTGTCATCGGGCTTGAAACAGAATGTTGCATCGCGCAACCTTAACAACATGTCCGGGCTAAAAACATGAAGCTAATGGAGTGCAATTCTCAATTCGAAAATAAACAAGTTACAATTTTAAACTGTTGAAAATTTAGCGTAAATATTATACGATGTTAAATGTTTCCTATCAGTTGACTGGCGTGTTGACTTTAACATCCATTGTTATTTAACGCGTTGTTTCATTTCGAGAAGTCACAATTATTTAGGCGACTCTCAAATGAGCAATTATTGGAGCGAGCCGTTCCGTATTACATCATTGTAATACCTAATTTTCAAAAAGAATTTAAATAGTATTTTTCACTTACAAGTTAATCAGGTTGTACTAATATTTTTGGTTGGGGTAATATTTTTCGCAATAAGAATTTTAATTGCCAGATACGGTCAATAAAAATCATTGATGTTGTTAATCAGGTTGTATCCTGATACAAATTAGTGTCATATCTAGTGGAAAATATTCCAGATTAATTTAGATTGCGCGGAAGACGAGAGAAGGAGAAAACGTCACTTCTTTATTCTTATCCGCGTGACAATCCGCTCGTAAGACCGAAGCCGGAGATCACGTGAGGAGGGCTATATATTGCTGTTAAGCCACGAGCGACATACGCTTACGGTAATGACGCCGATGACGATGTTAACGACGATAATAACGTTAATCCCAAGATCCCGTTACTACAAACAGCGGTGCGTTTCATTGAGATAGATGA